ACACACACACGTATAGCGTCAATGTGGAATGGCAACTGTGCGTACCGGCTGATACTAACTTCGACCCTTGATGGCCTCCATAAATATCCAACATTGGCAGCTTGTTACTTTGCGCCATGTAAATTTCAAGCCGACCGTAACGCTCTACATTCTTTGACGAGACATTTGTACCGGCTAATCATCGCGGCTTTATATCTGTTAGCTTATTTTCTTAATTTACTCTTAACTTTGAACATTTCACATTCTGCGTGCGCAAAAGTATAGGTCGTACTATTTATCTCGTTACAATAACTTCTCTCTCGAGTGTTATTCGAGGTTCCGTGAATCCAAGTTCCAAGACCGTAAAAATGAAGGATTTATCAGTCCATGAATCTTATTTAAGAAACGCAAAGAGTAATGAACTTAAAAATCCTTAACGAGCTAAGAAACCGAGTTCAACTTCCGCGAGTATTCCAACAGGAGATCCAAGAAGGGCCAGAAGAACAACTTGGCGCTCGAATTGTTCCGATTTGAAATTTCCAAGAGTAAGGATTGCGTCAAACGAATTCAGAAGAACATGGCGGGCCAATACATGGAAGAAAGCCGCTTTCTTCTTCCTTCGTCTGGATTCCTCGGTAATTGCGTACCGTTGCGACCCCTGTTGTTGTTCCTGTTCTTCTCTGCCGCCTGTTTGTTCCCTCGTCCGAAAGAAAGGAGAGCTCGCGCGCGCACGTCTTTTCATTTGTGCCCTCCTAGGATACACTTATAATAGGTGGGCCGTGCGTGGCAAACAGGGAAGAGGCCGCCGCGACGCGCCTAATCACTATAATCGTCCTCGCCAATAATTAGATTATTTTCAGTGTCTTCTCCCCGGCGTGTCTGTCCCTCTCTCGTTGATGATTACCGGCCTGAACTTATCATTACATCCCTACATCGATCCTCGCTCGCTCCGGGCGCGCCCTAAGGGAATGACCGTGTTTTTTCGTGCGAGACCGGGGCAATAATCTTGAGGCATTTGATATTCCTAAAAAAGGTAGATTGGAATATTGTAAGTCCCATTCCAAATATACCGATCTCTCTTTCTGAAATTTATTATTATTTTACAAGATAGGGATTACGGAAGGGATTATTTCATTTCTTAGTGTGTTAGAACGAAATGCCCGGAACACTTTATTTCGACGGAGTCGCGACTGTACTAATTAAACGAATTAGTAGTTGTAAATATTCGCAACGAATTTCCAGGAATTCTGGATACAAATTTCTCACGACGTTCTTGCAACGACAAAGCGGCCGTAATTTTCAAAGTTCCGCTACGTCGATTGGTTCTGACGCACTTCTAGAACGCGCGTTTCGGTACTTGCGGACTCGAGGGTGTTCATTATGCCACTTGAAGGTTTATTACGAAATACTCTATTTTATTGTCGTCGACCGGCTGCAGCGGAATTCTTGAACCTTCCGCGTAACGTATTATTGCCGCGGAATTGGAAGAAGGAAAGCCCGAGGGCGAGTCTTGGTCATCATTACCGGAGTCCCTTTGAGGAGACTGGTGCACAATCTCATATTCTTTCTTTTTTTCTTTTTTATTAATAATAATCAGAGTTGCACTTTCCAGCGCCGCGGAACAGTGGATATACGTGTATGTCTTTTCAGGGAAATAATATATTAATAAGCGGAACAGCTTTCCCCCCCCCCTCCTTTTTCATGTAAATTTGCTGAGGCTACATTTTTTTGTCTACGGTGATAAAATAACGTACGTAGAAATTTTCGATGCGACGTCGAAAAACGTTTCATCTCTATCACTTTAGACGTCTGATCGATGACTGCTGGAATTGAGAAGCACGATATTCCAACTTATGATATTCCAACTATCGGCCGATTCATCTTTCGCAGTGGTATTCTTATATTTTGGATTGAGGATCCTTGAAGATTTCATCTATTTCGCCCTCCGCTCGTAAACACGCACGCGGCAAGTTAACGTCTCGGAATGAAAGCGCCGATATTAATTTCGTGCGGAACCACGCGGGCTACCCCCAATCGCACCGTTTTATTGCGTTCTTAAGACAACGCCCAACGATTTCATAATACCGTCGATCCCAATGAAACAGCAATTCCCGACGATGCAATCGCGCGGCGCGCACGTGGACGGAGACGGCGGAGACGGACTTTTACGACTTGGCAATTCGGGAAAGAGTTCGTCAGCTCGAGAAATATTTAAATTCAATCCGACTGGGGGAGGGGGGGAGAGGGAGTGCCGTGAACCGCGATGAGGGGATCGAGGAGAGTCGATAGAGGAGGATAAAACGTGCTCCCTTCTTTTTTGCTAATTAATTCTACGCTGCTTTTGTATTCTTTGTACTTGCTGTTTATTTCGACATATTAATTTCACGCATGTTCGCCACGTTCAATTAACGTAAAAAGTAAAAAGATTGTTGTCGACGGCCTTGAGACGGTTGAGAGGTAAGCCGCCGACAAGGGGTTGGATCTCATCCACCGGAATGTATAACGTTTCCACCCCTGCCGACTGCGAGGATCGCCATTAATCCTTAGGCTGACTTTCTTTCCGCTCGCTGTCGTATAGAACGGGGCGTCCTCGTTATCGACGCTTATCGCTAATAAGATCGCTGGACCGCTCGTTATCGTCGTCGTCGCACTCGCCCTGTCCTCATTTTCGTACGATTGCGATCGTTAATTATCCCTATCGCAGCCGATCGTCCTCCGCCGTTCTCCTCCTTTGCCTTCTCCCCCCACCTTCCCACTCACCCACGCGCTTTCGTCGTTCTTCTCGTCATTATCATTCCGGTAATTACCGGTGTATTCCCTCGTTATCATCTTGTTATCGTTCGGCTATCGCGCTTTCGCGAGGAGTACGGCGAGCGTCTCCGAAGAGGTCAGGCCTCGTAAATGCGTGGGAACGAGTTGATAACGAACGACGAAGAACATCGGCATCTACACTCGAAATTACGCTCGAATCGAACACTCGAACTCGATATTTTAATAGCATCGATTTGATGGATCTCTCTACGTTTCCGATTTATTCGTCGATGGCCGACAATCGCGCGCCAATTTGCCTCTACACGATCCAGTACGGGGGGGGGGGGGAGTTTAACGTATTGTGAACCGTGATCGCTTCGATTTAATTAAATCGATCTGCGATCTGTGTGGCGATCTGTGACTGTGTACGAAACGTTACGACTCGCGAACGGGACGTCGCGCGACACGCGCGCGGCACCTAAGTAACCAAGCATTAAGAAGAAGCCGGCACACAGAAACGCGGAGCGGGCGAGTCCGTAAGGGCATTAATGCGCCGGAGATTTATGTGGTAACGGCGAGGATGAAATTCCATCGCGGTAGGTGCTCGTATAAGTGGCACGCTGCTCGCTGGCGGAGGCGCGAGAGTTATGGTTGCCCATACTGATATCCACTATAAACTCCCCCGTCGTCCGCCCTTCTCCGCGCGTCCTCCTACGCTCTCTACCACGGCATACTTAATTAAATACGTATTAAGAGCCTGAGTGTGTTCCGATGTACCGATGTGTGCCTGCATCGTGGAATAATATATGCTTCAGCGCGCGCCCGCGCGCCCGCGCGCGCGCGCGCGCGCTAATTACTTTCTCCCACCGAGGTCGCACACCGACAGTTTTACTTTCCCCGTGGTACCCGCAGTGGAACCGCATTTATCGAAATGAAGCACGCCCTTTTACGTAACAAAGGGATTTTTCAATATTACACGCGCTTCTCTTTCCTTGCGAGACCGTCGGGACGAATTTACTATCGGTCGTCGTTACAAGAATATAATCATTTCTTCATTATGCATTAATCATTATGCGCACGTCGTTACTACACAAGAAAATTATTATGGACGAATGTACCTTGTGGGGAAGAACCCCCTATAAAATATTTTCTACTCTTAAAACTGACCAAATATAAAAAGAACGCTCGTTGCGTCTCTGAGGGACAAGAAGACAGAAGTTTAAAATAGAAAGTTGATCGGCACTTGCTGAGTTAGAACGATTGTTATTTAAGATGAATGTGCTGTGCACGTCATCCACGTATTGGTCTTATGGCTTCTGATATTCAGAAGACAGGCTATTTCAGGAATTCCCATGAATCCTTAGAAAATTGGTGAAATTTTTTCGCACTTGTATTTCGATTCGCAAACTTTTGTGTCATATCATATGCCGAGCAGGATTTTTCAATGTAAAAAACAATGGCAAGATTTGAGAAAGAGGGATGTCGAAATATCACTGCTCTACGACATTAATTTAAGATTCTACTGTCGAATTTATAAATCGCTGACTTTAGTTTTTAGTGTTAAATAACGATTTTACATAATACCTCAAATTAATCAATTTAAAAATCCTCCCTATTCTATTATTGCAGGTTTCATCGAAGTACCGGAAGAAAAGAGCCGGTGCCAGGTCACAATAGAGCGCCGCGCAGCCGCTCCTCTCTTCTTCGTTTCACCGTTGGAAACCGTCGGTGGGCTCCCTGAGCCCACCCTCTCATCGGTCAAACTGGCGAGCGCGTTAACCGCTGGTATGAACCCCCACCATCCGGGCCATTCTGCAGCCTACCCCCACCATCCTTCGCTCTCGAGCAGTCCGCATCATCCGGGGCCCGGCGGGCCGCATCACGCATATGGGACCGGTGGAGGTGGCGGAGGTGGTGGCGGCGGCGGCGGTGGCGGCGGTACCACAACCACCCCCGACTTACCAAGTCCACATTCACCTCAGCACACTGGTGGTGCCGGCAATCCTGCCACCCCCTACGGCGCCCTACAACCCGGACAGAGCATGGGCAGCAACGGCCATCATCACAGCGGTGGTGGCATGATGCCGGATCATCCACATCATCCTGGACACCCCCATCCCCACATGCCAGGACATCCCGCGTATCCACCGGTTAACCACAACAATAATTGCACGCTCAAGGTAAGTACTATTTTTATTTTTATATTATAATTTCTCTTTCGAACTTGTTATTTTATATATTCAATGACTCGTTAATATATACGTGCGGGCATATTTCACATGATTCGAACTCAAAATTCAATTTTCTCGCACGATAAAATGAAGCGGTACAGGTGATTCCAAAGACGAAGAATGGTGAAGAATTCCGAAGGCCTTCAACTTTGTTATAAAGGACCCAGGCATGCTATAACATAGGGTCACAGGGTACAATTCAGCAGTATTATCCATCCGTCCGACCCTCACTTACTCCACCATTGACAAACGTAACAATATAGGCATTTATGATGGAGAAATATAATTGAATAGGGGCGGAGGGGCCCGCGCGGTTCCCCCTCTTGCAGTTTTCTGTTCGATGCTTTACCTGCCCCTTTCTCTTTCCTCCCCTCTCTCCGTCCTTATACCACACAACGTTCTGCCTTTTTCAGAGTATACATTGCTTCTCCAAGCTTTCATTTTTCATTCACCTTTCTGCGTTGACTGTACCCTCTCTTCCGGTTTCTAAAGACCTATACATCTGTTGCTCTACTTCGTGAACTGTTTTTCGGCGATTGCTACTCTGGAATTCTTTTTTTTTTTTTTTTTTTTTCAATTTTATATTAAACTTTTTGGCTTGAATTTTCTAAATTATTTTTTTAATTATTCTCCAACTCTTTTGGTTTCTCTTCATCATTTTTACAGCTTTAACATATAAAGTTTGATATTTATGTAATGACAGTTTACAAAATTATGTTATTTATTTTCTTTTCTGGAATAAATTTAACTTCAAAGCAAGATTTTAATATGTTAATTATATGATTATTTGAAAAAAATAACATGCATTATCATTGAGGGTGTAGCAAAAGAGATATAATTTGGAAAATCATAATGAACATTTTTCGTTTGAGAATTTTATGCTTCTAAAAATTCTGATCTATTAAATTTTATAAAATTCGTCATTTCAAATGAATGATCTTCAATTCAAATGCATTGAATATTTGGATTCTTGAATGGCATGTTGTATTCATGCGGCCTTTGAATTTTCTGATCCTTTCCGTCGTTCTTTCTTGTACTGTCTCAGTCCCATCCTTCCCTTAGATTCCACTCACATTCTGTCACCGTCTCGCTCCAACTCGCTCTTACTCTCTCGTATCGTTCTTTTGCTGTTTCTGTTTACTGGGCCTCCCTTATTCTTCTCTTCTATTTCTTGTATTTTCGCTTTTCTGTCGCTCCTTTTCTTATTTCTTCTCTCGAGCTTCTTACATTCCGTCTTCCTCGTATTTGCATTGTCTTTTCCTCTTCTATGTCTTCCTATCATTTTGATAACCCCATATTTTTTTGTCAATCTGATTTGCATTCTTTTTAATTCCTGAGATTTGATTTTCCATTTCTTTCTTACATCTTCCTTTCCCGCAATATCTTTTCTTACTTTTTTTCTCATTATATTATCTTTTTCTTATGTCTCTCTTTTACTTCCCTAGTTTTTTTTTTTTTTTTGTTATTCGTTAAATTCATTGTAAACGTATATACGTAATGTATCTG